CAGGTCTCGAACCCACGGGCTCAGGCAATCCACTCACCTCAGCCTCCCAAAGGCGTGGGATTACAGACTGAGCCACCAAGCCCGGCGAAAAAATTATTTTAAAAAATTAGCCAGGCATGGTGGTACACACCTGTAGTCCCAGTTACTCAGGAGGCTGAGGCCAGAGGATCACTTGAGCCCAAGAATTCAAGGCTGTAGTGAGCTATGATCACACTACTGCACTCCAGCCTGGGCGACAGCAAGACTTTGACTCAAAAATAAAAGTAATACTAAACAAGATGTCACCAGTCTACAGCCAGCAGGATAAGCACCAGCATTCATCTTCCCAAATACAAAGGTTGGTCCTGCACTTATGACTGACCCTCTCCTCACTAGGAGATCTTAGATCAGAGCACAGGGCTAGGGGGGCAGGCTGGGGCCCTGCAACCCATCTGGCTACAAGAACTCACAGCTGTTTTAGGATACTCCACTGGCAGTGGGACAAACCTAAGTAACGACCCGAGGATGAGGAACAGCAAGTTTAACTGACAGGGGATGTTAAAGGAGGGACTCTGGATCCCAGCATTAACTCAGTACAGACACCAGGAGGAGCCACAGGAACATCAGCCCTGTGCAACCTGACCTAGGGACAGAGCAGAACACTGACAGGCGAGTAGGCCGGGAGCAAGAACAGCACCTGTCTACATTCCTTCTGCTGGGGTGTAGGTCCTCAGGAGAAACAGACCTTACCTCTTCAGGACTTTTCCAGATCCGACGCCCTTCACTGCTTCTGTATCACCTCTCAGCACAGCCAAGAAATTTTTAGGGGTAACATCCTACAAAGAATTTGAAACCAAAATCAGATGCTGCTGTCAGTCCAAGCCAGAGAACCTGCTGGTCCTGAGGCAGCCCCAGGAGCTCACCCACACTTTTCCAAGGCTCGAGGCTTCCAAGTAAACATTTGGAATGCAGGGGACCCAAAGCAAGGGCTGTGCACAGGGGTGCACGACCTTTTCACAGACATCATCTGGATTGGGCCTACAGCAACTCGGCCTGCTGTTTCTGCTTGACCCCTACACAGTCCACATGCAGAAACCCAAATTGCCGACAGAGTGGAAAAATCAAAGAGGAAGAGGATGCCACTTCGGGGAAACAGCAAGAGGGAGGCAGGAATGTCAGCACCCGCCCTTCACCCAGCCTGCTGCCTGAGTTTAAGCTAAACCCCAGGGATATCTGGTGTCCTGAGAGGATTCTGTTCAACTGAAACTTCATCACTGAAAACAACACCAAAAAGTACAAAGAAGAAAGTCATCAAAAATCCCAGCACCTAGAGTCTAAGCACTCCCTTATGTAACCACACAAAGATAAACAATTTCATAAAAGTGGGATTATCTATGTTACATGAATGATATAGTAAATATAACTGTATTTGAACTTAAAAGAAATAAACAAAATGAAACTGAAAAAATTGCTGAACTTTAGCTAAAAGGATCCGAATATTAGTTCCTAAAAGATCCTTCTAAAATTAAAAAAAAAAAAAACTACAGAAACCACGAGACTGATGTCATTATGGTGTTTTTAAAAATGTGTCAATTTATACAGAAACTATAATCATAATTAATGAAAAACTATCTCAGCAAAATCCTGAGGTACTTCGCATCAGGCCTGATTTTGCAGAAGACTGATTTTCATAAAACAGCACAGATTATCTACAATCAGATTAACAGCAATATCTCAAGAAAATGAGGTTAATATGGAAGGAAATCTATAATCAGCTTAAAGTCTGAGGAGCAGAAACTAGGTATCAGCAGCCTGCAACTTATTTTGCACATTTTGAAATCCCTTTCTCTGTTTATGTTCAAAACTCTCACAATCTACTCCGCAAGCACAAATCCTAATATAAACATGAAATCCTGACCAGAAACCAGTCTAGGGAGGCTATGATTCTAGAAACACAAGATAAAATCATCACTAAAATGCAAGCGGCACCACCAGCCTGCCCTGGGCCCACGCCCCTCCCTCATGTACTCCTTGGACCTCCTCTGGGTTCATACCCCTCCCATGTGATCCTTCACTGAACCCAGGGCCCACGTCCCTCTCCTGTGTGGTCCTTGGCCCCATCCTAGGTCCACACCCCTCCCCTGTGTAGTCCTTGGTGTCACCCTGAGCCCATGCCCCTTCCCTGTGTAGTCCTTCACCCTACCCTGGGCCCACGCCCCTCCCTCTACCCCGGTAGTCCTTCATCCTGCCCCAGGCCCACGAACCTCGCCTGTGTAGTCCTTAGGGACGCCCTTGTACACGTCTGTGCCGTTGGGCCTATTGATCACGATACCTGGGGTGGGATTGCTGGAAATGGAAACACAATGTGACACATCTCTGAAATCTCTCTCTTCCCAAATATATCCCGTTATGTGAAAAGCCAGTAAACACTTATGTCTGTGGAAGACACATCTATTCACCTGCATGTCACCAGTGTGTAAGCAGTCTGGGGATTGCAGGGGCCCACAAGCCAAGTGCTCTCAGGCCGAGCTCAAAAGGCTTAGGACAGGAACCCAAGTCTGGGTATTCCCAGCCTCCTGCAGCTTGAGGGCAAGATCTTCTCTAAATTGAGAGCAAAACTACTCTTATGAGAGAGGCAGGAGAGAAATCAAGGCTTCTATACAAGAGCTGGTGCCTAAGCCCTGACAGAATCACAGCAAGGGCAGCATCCTGGCCAGGACCAAGGTGGGGTCCAAGGAACGGAGAGGTTAGAACTGGGTCATTTACACCAGTACTTGCTGCTCTGGTCTCTGCAAGACATCAGTAAGTGTGAAAGAACACATAACATTTACTTCAGCTGGAGAGTAAAGTAAGAACAGGTATGAGAGAGGAGCAGGAGCTTGTCTTCACACAAGGCTCGCATGCCCAGCCCCTTGTGCTGCTCCCTCAGAGGCTAGAAACAAGCCCCCAAGTGCTTCAAGCCCTTTCCAAGCACCCATCAGAACTGGCATCCCGGGTCCCTGATGATCCCAGGCACACACACAGCATGGCCAGTGCTCCACATGAGGCACCCCGTGGGCTCTCATCTGGGAGGATATCTACGTCTCAGCATCAGGATGCTGTTCTGAGGATTCCTATGAGTCTATGTGGCTTTTCTTAATACCCTTAAGTTCTTTACAACCAAGTTCAAAGCACACCCTACTTACTCTTCAGAGTTGGCGATGTCATCATACATCATCACAATGATCTGCTCATCAGGAATCCCGTTTCGGTGAATGATCTGGTAGGCATGGCATGCGTCTGCCTGGAGAAATGAGGAAAGTTTTAGATTTTGCCCAGGAGGCCAATTTTGGAGTCTCATGAATAGTGTGCTCTGTCTCATCGAAGACTTGCTATAAATCACTCCCTATCGATCAGGCATTTACATTTTTTTTTTAATACACACGTTAACATTTTTATCTCAATTCTAAAAGATCTCCCACCTGCCCAAATTATCCAGTTCTTACTCAACAGGAAGCTCATGTACATATGAGCGGCATACACATGCACATGCATGCACACATGCACACACATACACACAAACACAACCCGCCACCACCCCATCTGCAGGTCACAAGGGCCTTTGAAAGTCCTAAATGACTTCGCTTTCCAGACTACATAAATGTCTCCTGAAAGCAGAGATTTGGATCTCAAAAGCAGAAGGACTCAGAATGGTAAACCAACAGGTGAGAAGCTTAGCAGCCGTGCTGTCTCACACAAGACTCTTCCAACTCAAGTAACTCTGTCTGCCATGGTCACTGTTCAGAGAAATGGGTAAAAACCCCAAAGTACAACTCTGGAATTAAAATGAGAAACCGCTCTTAAGTTTACAAAAGTAATGATAACTACAAAGGAAGTCAACGTTAGGGATCAAGAAAAACTTTCCTCATGCAACTCCTCGGCCATGAGGGTGAATGGGTTGCTTCCTTGCCTCGCACACAGGGAGGTGAGTGTTCAGTCTGCATTCCCTTTAGGAACAAAACTCATACACATCAACTTCTTTATTTATTTTTTTCTTATTTTTAGAGGCAGGGTTTTTCTCTGTCGCCCAGGTTGGAGTGCAGTGGCATGATCACAGCTCACTGCAGCCTCAAACTCCTGTGCTCATTTGATCCTCCCACCTTGGCCTCGCAAAGCACTGAAATTACAGGCTTGAACCACCAAGCCTGGCCCTATACACATCAAATTCTAAACAGCACTTCTTAACACAATAGTAAATGAAACTTGTCAAACATTAAACCTGGCATGTCGCTTGGGGAAGCCCCAACAAAGGGGCTGACTTTATAACAGAGACAGTGTTCATACACAGTTGTTGACTACGGAAGTGTGGCATCCAGGGCCTGGCACTCGAGCTGTCAGATGAATGGATGCCTGAATACATTTGAATGCTAATACATTTATTAGCATCCTTCTGTTTGTCCAGCACATGCTAAGACTACATGCATTATCTTATGTAATTCTCCTAGCAAGCCTAAAGATAAAGGTAATGATCTCCATTTTACAGATGAAGAAATAAAAGCTTGAGTGGTGAGATGGCCTGCCCAAGTCACACGCAACTCACAGTGAGAGCCCAGGCATTCCAAACCCCAAACATTATACTGCCTCATACAGGAACAACAGAGAATTCAATAAAAGAACAGAGGCCCTGGGAGAGCAAAGGGTGCTGACAGCCTAGTTCCCTGCTGGCTCCCAAGGGCCGAAAGTCTGAACACAGGTCATTTTTAAATAGTTCCTAGATATTTTATAAATAGACTGACCCACACACATTGTTAAAATGTTGAAGGCCTGTTTCTATGGGATGATGAGGACCTTCAAACACCAAAATAGGCAGGATAGCAGCCCCAAAGACATGCCCATCCTAACCCTGGAACCCGTGAACAGGCTATGCTACATGCAGGGAGATTAAGATAGCAAATGGATTTAGGTTCTAATCAGCTGGTCTTAAAACAGAGAGGCTTTTCCAGATCATCCCAGCGAGCCCAGTGTAAGCACAAAGGTGTTTATGTGTGGGAGGGAGTCAGGAGACTCAATGTCCAAGAGATACCATGTAAGAAAGGCTCTACTGACCCTTGGCTTTGAGGACAGGAGAAGGGCCGTGGGCCAAGGAATGCTGGCAAACTTTACAGCTGGAAAGGGCATGACAGTGGAACCTCATCTTGAGCCAGCAGAGAACTAGGCTGTCAGCACCTTGATTTCACCCAGTGACAACCACAGCAGATTTTCACCTCCAGAATCGTAAGATAATAAATTTGTGTTGTGTTAAGCCACTAATTATAGTAATGGGTTTGAGTAGTAGTAGTAAACTAACATAGCAAAGGCAAAAGCATGGTGCAACCAGCATTCCACTGTGCAAACATCTAGACATCTTCAGTCAGGCTGAAGCATGTGCCCTCCACCCTTCCTGTCCACTCTCGGCCATCTGCCCCACCAGTCCACTCCTGGCCGTCTGCCCTGCAAGTCCACTCTTGGCTATCTGCCCTAGCAGAACTGTAGCCCATAGAGAGCAGGAGAGGGCTCACTGCATCACTGTGCTGCCTACAGGTAATTGCCGGATGTTAAACATGGCAAAATTATAAAGCAAAGCATGGAAGGAATGACAAAAACTCAGGCGCTTGGTCACTGGAGGGCACAAGGTACACAGGTATTCATTTTATTATTATGTTTTTATGATTTAAACTGTATACATGTTATGGAGACATTCATCTGTGTGCTATTTCATAAAAAAATCAAATCAATATTATGTGAGATTTAACCCACTCCTCTGATGATGTGGGAATTAGCAGATGCACCCACCCCATGACAAGCCGCTCCTGTTAGATGTCAAAAGGCCCCCAAAACAAAATCATCACAAAATAAAGTTAACAAAAGAAGTGCAAGACTTATGCACTGAAATTATAAAATACTGCTGAGGGAAATTAAAGATCTAAAGAAATGAAGAGGCATTTCATGAATCAGAAGATGCAGTACTGTTTCTTAATACTTTATAATGCTAAGAAAAAAGAAGACAATGCAAAAAACAGAGAAGATCAGCAAGTTTTTTTTTTTGCAGAAACTGACAAAATGATCCTAAAGTTTATACAGAATTGCAAAAGACCTAGAATAGCAAAAAAAATTTTGCAAAAGTACAAAGATGGAGGGCTTTCACTTCCTAATTTCAAAACTATATTGAGGAGAAATTAGTCTTTTCAACGAAAGGTGCTGAAACAAGTAGATATTCCACATACAAAAAGATGAATGTAGACCCTCACCTCACAATATTCATAAAAATTAACTCCAAATGGATCATAGATTTAAATGTAAGAGCTAGAATAAAATTTGTAGATGGTAACATAGGAGAAAAATCTTTGGGACCTTGAGTTATAACTGCAAGAAAGTCATGAATAACTGAGAAAGTATGATCTATAAAAGAATAAAACTGATAAACTGGACCTTATCAAAATTAAAAACTTTAATCTTCAAAAGATACCATGAAGAAAATGGAAAGAAAAACAATGGACTACGAGAAAATATTTGCAAAACAGTCATCCGATAAGGATAAAGGACTTATATACAAACACAAAGAATTCTTGGACCCCCAACAAGACAATCAATGTAGCCAAAAAAAAAAAATATGTAAAAGACCTGAATAAACATTTCACCTAACAAGACATGCAAATGGCTAATGAGCACATGAGAAGATATTGTACATCATTAGTCATTAAGAAATACAAATCAAAACCACAATGAGTCATCATTTTACAGTCAGATGATGACAAGTGTTGGTATAGACTAGAGCACCAGGAGCCCTGTACACGGCTTGCGGCGATGCCAAGTGTGTCTCCATCTTGGAAAACAGTTGAACGGTTTCTTGAAAAACTAAACATAAATTTGCTATTTGTCCTAACAATTTTACTCCTAGGTACCTACCCAAGAAAAACAAAACCAAAAGCTGGAAACAACGCCAATCAACATCTATCAACAGGTTAACAGACAGGCAAAATGTGGCCTACCTGTACAAGGGAATATGATTTGGAAATAAAAAGGAACGTAGTGCTGATGCATGCCACAACATGGATGAACTTCCAAAACCTCATGCAGAGAGAAACCAGGCATGAGAGACCACACCTTGTCAGTCCCGTTTATAGGAAATGTCCAGAGTAAGCAAATCCAGAAACAGAAAGTAGACTGGTACTTGACCAGGGCTAGAGGTCCCGCAGGACCCTGCCAAAGAGATGGAAATGTGCTCACACTGATTTACAGTAATGTTTGCACAACTTAGGAAATTTGCTAGAAAATCCTTGAGCCGGATACCTGACATGGGTGAATTACAGGCGGCATTAAACTAGGCCTCAGTAGTTAGATATGTTTAAGGAGCAGGTTCATCACCCTCTGGCGATGTTTAGAGCCCTCCGTGCCCAAGAGGCAGGTGCTTTTATCACCACTGGAGAGATGGGGCCATGCTCAGCAGGGGCTGCAGCTTGCTCAGGGGTTCAGACCCTGATCCCTACCTGGACATGCCCCTTCACATGCAGCAGCCTTGAGGGCAGGGGAAGATTCCCTCTGGACTCTGGGAGGCACTTGGTTGCCTCTGCCTTTTTAGCAAAGAATCCCGTGGTTCTTTGCTAAAGTCAAATATTTACTGGCACTCGAGGAAATAAAAGTAGGGCTCAACCAACTCAAATAACTCGAAAATGGTGTCAAAAGTGACTTGAATTACTTCCCTTGAATGTACATTGATCTATGAAACATTCTTTCCCTTAAAAACAGGAAAGCCATATGGTGCAATGGGGCAATACTTGAGAGATTATTGAGCAAGACTTCACAAAAAGGGCAGAGCCCTGGGAAGGATGAACAGAGATTGCAGTGACTCTGTGGGTTTCACAGCTATGTTAGGAGTTCTGTCTTACTAGCATGTCCTGTGATGTCCTGACCAGGTTGTCGTCTGTCCTCTGTGAGCTCACACTGCATCCAGCCCAGCCAGTGTCACTAAATAAAGGCAGGGGGCATGGAACAAAGTGTGACTACAGCAGGCCGATCTGTGTCCCAGTCACTGGAGGGGTCCCCTGTCACTGGGTATGCGTGCCTGCTAGGGCATGTATCATGCCTGTGACATGCCCAAGCACCGCTGAGGCCAGGCACTGGGCCTACCTCCAACCCCGGAGGAGCAATCTAAGGCTTAAAGTGGGAAGATACCATTGTCCAGACTAGGACAGCAGGTCATGATGGGCAGGAACTGCACTTGAGGTGTGGGCAGGGCCATGCGGCATTAACTCGATCATGCACAGCTTCTAGCATTTACAGAAAACCTGCTGCCCACACTGTCCCAGCCTTCAACAATACTCAGGTCCCTCAGTCTCCATCCTAATGTCCTTCACCCATGGTCTTTTTAGGACAGAGTTTCTTTTTAAAAATATAAAAGTTATGTTATGCATCACACTGAGCTGAGTGCTTGCCCAAAGAGCAGGCAGTCCTTGTCATGCCTGTCGCGGAACTTCCTGGCCACTCTCTCCTCACCTTGGTGCTGGCCTTCTGCTCCTGCCAGCCTCAGTTTCACCTCTCAGCCTACAAACCTTAAATATTTCCTATCTGGCCCTTCATAGGAAAAAGCCTACAGACCACAGACTTAAGCCAGATGGTGCGGTGAGGCTCTGAGCATGTGTGGGCTGGGGAAGAGGACTGCCGGGGCATGGGGTGCTAGAGCACCCCTCATTCTCATTTTTCTAGCACTAGACACTAGTCCAACCCCTTGTCTAGTGCTAGAAAAAGAAAGGGGTGTTGGTCCTTCTGCTCCTGCCAAGCCTCACTGCAATCTCACCCAGCCTTTCTAGCCAATCCCCACTTCCTACTCCATCTCTCTGGACTGCGTGCTATCCCTGCATGCATGTGGCCATCTTCTTCCTTCCTATCAGGGCCTAGCAATGCTAATGATCTGCCCAGCTCCTAGCTGTCAGGGGCTTCCCTAAGTCAGAACTGCTCCTTTGGGTATGATCCCAAGGAAAATGAAAGCCTCCATGAAAATGGAAGGGTGGCCCTACAGGGACTAGTTCTTCAAAGAAAATGAAAGTCTCCATGAAAATGGAAGTGTGACCTGTAGGGACTGCTCCTTCAGGTATGAACCCAAGGAAGATGAAAGTCTCCATGAAAATGGAAGAGTAACCCTGTAGAAACTGCTTCTTCAGGTGTGTGCCCAAGAAAATGAAAGCCTCCATGAAAATGGTAGAGTGGTCCTGTAGAGACAGCTCCTTCAGATGTGAGCCTAAGGATAGTGAAAGCCTCCATGAAAATGGAAGAGTAGCCATATTAGAGACCACTTCTTCAAGGTATGAACCTAAGGAAGATGAAAATGGAAAAGTGGCCTGCAGGGACCACTCCTTCAGGTGTGAACCCAAGGAAAATGAAAACCTCCATGAAAATGGAAGAGCAGCCCTGTAGAGACTGTACCTTCAGGTGTGAACCCAAGAAAATGAAAGCCTCCATGAAAGTGGAAAAGTGATTTCCATTCTATAGAGATTGCTCCTTTAGGTGTGAACAAAGGAAGATGAAAGGTGCTATGAAAATGGAAGAGTGGTCCTGTAGAGACCATTCCTTCAGGACTGAACCCAAGGGAAATGAAAATCACCACGAAAATGAACGAGTAGCCCTGCAATGACTGCTCCTTCAGGTGTGAACCCAAGGAAAATGAAAGCCACCATGAAAATAGAAGTGTAGCCTGCAGGGACAGCTACTTCAAGTGTGAACCCAAGGAAAACAAAAGCCCCCATAAAAATGAAAGAGTGGCCCTGCAGGGACTGCTCCTTTTTGTGTGAACCCAAGGAAAACAAAAGCCTCCATTAAAATGGGAGAGTAGCCCTGCAGGAACCGCTCCCTCAGGTGCTCTTTCAGTGATCAGCCTCCAGGTCAAGAGAGCCAGTACAGGCTGCTGACTAGGAATACAGGCAGCCACGGATGGCCCCAATGCCACCATCCTCTTACTTACAGACAAATATTCCAGTCTATGGCCGCTTGTTTCGCCTTGTTTTTATTCTATATTGATATTTATTATTTTATTCAGGGAAATTAGCTACACCATAAAAAATAAAAGGTTTCTGGGAGCAAAGGGCAACTGGATAAGTTGCACCTCCATTTAATGTTCAACAAGTGTCTGTCATCAGGCTGGTTGTATAAAAATCAGGGTGGTTGATAAATCATCTTGTTTGCTATCTGAGATCTGTACTAAATAGTTTCTCTTTCTAACTTGTGGTTAGAGGGAGGAGAAAATGAAGAGCTGAAACATATGCAAGTCACTTCTCTTTAAATGGGTCAGGTCTGTGGTTAAGTAGTAAAAGGAGACGGGATCATTTTGCCATGATAACAACTTTTTAATCAAGCTAAATTTCCTATTTGGCTAATCTGCAAAAACCACTCAAGAAATGAGTTATTCATTCAGAGAGGGTAAATACACACTGAATTTCAAGGACTTTAACAAAAAAAAGGTAAGGTATTTCATTACTATTATTATTATCCTTAGAGATGGGTCTCGCTCTGTTGCCTAGGTAGATGCAGTGGCACGATCAAACTCCTGGGCTCAAGTGATCCTTCCATCTCAGTCTACTAAGTAGCTGGGACTGCAGGCATGTGCCACCACATTCAGCTAGTTTTTTGGGGGTTTTTTGTAGACATGAGGTCTCCCTATGTTGCCCAGTCTGGCCTCAAACTCCTGGGTTCAAGTGATCCTCCCACCTCAGCCTCCTGAGTAGCTGGGTGTACATTAGAAGTGAGCCAGCACACAAGCTGGCATCTCAATTTTAGTTTTTTATATTGATTACAAGTTGGCATGATAATAGTTTGGACATACTGATTTAAATAAGTTATTACAATTCATGTCACCTGTTTGTGTTTACTAAAAAATCAACCACGGCACCTGGGGCACTTCTACTGGATAGGGTTGCCCTAGAGTCAGTCAGCCGGGACATGAAAACTGGCCCCATCACGTGCCCACTGAGCTGGGCTGGGCAGACTGCTGGCCCTGCCCATACCTCCATCCAAGTACTTACAAGCAGGAGTAAGAGCTGGCCCTGCCCACGCCTTGGTCCAAGCACTCAAGGGGAAATAGAGCTGGATCCACTGCTTGGCCTAAGCACTCATGAGGGGGAGTAAGAGCTGGACCAACCGTACCCAACCCCACTGCAGGGGCTAAAGGAGCTCGTCTGTGTCATGTGCACTCAGGAGAGAGCCCAGCATGTAGACACTTGATAGTCTAAGCACCTTATTTCTGAGACTGAAAAGATTAAATGACTTTTCAAAAGTAACTGCTTTATTAGGACACAATTCCCATATCATAATAGCATTTTAAAACAGACAATTCAGTGACTTGCGGTATATCCACCACTATCTAATTTCAGAATGTTTTTGTTACCCCAAAAAGAAACCCCATACTCTTCAGCAGGCACTCCCCAGTCTCCCCTCTGCCCCAGCCCATGGCAACAGCTAATCTACTTTTTATCTCTGTAGATTTCCCTGATTTAAACTTTCATTAAAAATGAAATCATAAAATATGTGGTCTTGGTGACTAGCTTCTCTGATTTAGCTTGTTTAAGGCTCACTCATGTTGAAGCCATGTGAGGATTTCATCTTTTTTGTGGCCTGATTATATTCTGTTGTGTGTATGCACTACACTGTTTATCTTTCCATGGATATGGGCTGTTCCACTCGTGGCTCTCATGAATAATGCTACCATGGACACTCCTGCACACATGTCTATGTAGATGAGGGCTTTCACTTTTCCTGGGGACACACCAAGGAGAGAACTTGCTGCTTCATATGGTAATTCGAGGGGTAACTTTTTGAGGAACTGCCAGAGGGTTTTCCACAGTGACTGTACCATTTACATTCCTGTGCAGGAATTTTTTTATTTATTTTATTTTTTCACTCTCCACTATACTAACAAGGACAGGAGGCTATACATCTAATGTACACTCAAATATGGGTTCTCTTCTTTTCTATCTTCCGACAGGCTGGTGTGGCTGATATCCAGGAAACATGGGGAATGACAGATCAGCAGGAGGGGTGTGGAGGGCAGACACCAGGACACTTTCACCCAAGCCATAGACTCATTCCTCACTGGTCTCCTCTTACTGTGTGGCCTTGGGCAAGTCACCTCTACTCTCTGGCCCTCAGTTTCCCTCTCTATACAATGAAGGTGTTAGACCAGTGGGTCTCAACCTGGGCGATTCTGCCCCATGGGGACACCTGGTGATGTCTGGAGACATTTTGGGCTGTTATAGTGGGCCAGGTGACACTGCTGTCATGGAGGGAGAGTCCAGGGATGCTGCTGAGCCTCCCACAAAGCACAGGATGGACCCACAACAACGAATGGCCTGGCCCCCAACAGTCAACAGTGCCAAGGTCGAGAAACTTGCTTCAGGCTAAGGTGCTCCTGCAGAAACCTTTGTGGACCTATCAGCCTGTTTTCCACAATGGTTGTGCCATCATACAGTCCTCCCAGCAGTGAGGAGGGCTCTAGGGTCTCCACACTCTCACCAGCCTCCCGGTGTGCACATGCTCTTCCTAAGCCTTTACCATTAGCAAGGTCTACAGAGTGTTTAAAAGAAAGCCGAGTCACACTCCTACCTGGTGCCTGTAATTGTACCAGCCATTTGAGCCTGCGACAATCACCACCCAGTGCTTGCCTCCATCTTCAGGATCATCAGTGGGCACAGCTCCAACTCCCAGGACCACGCCCAGCAGCACTGCTGCTCTCCATGCCATTGTGTGCCTTGGGCTCAACTGCAGAAACCTAAGAAGAAAAGGCAGAGTCAAGCAAAAAGGAGCAAGAATCAATGAGTGCCAGCCCTAAGAAAACAGCACAGTCAACAGGCAAAAAGAAGAGGCCACACAGTAGCCAGACAGAAACGCTGAAGACAACGATGGAGAAAAGAGAGGGGGTTCCACCTTTAGCTCCACTGCCCCCTCCCCACATGGAGAAGAGGCTTCTACCACGAAGAAAGCAGGGGCCTGAGTCTCCGGACTAAGAGAGCCTCGCCAGCACTTCTCCAACCTGTGAGGGTGTCCATGTTGCTGGAGCCCGTGGAGGCTCTGACTCAGCAGTCTGGGCGGGCAGAGGCCACATTCCATTCCAGTGAGTCTCATGCCAGCCTCAGACCACATTTGGGTACAGCCCACCCTCATGAACCTGGTCATATCCACCCTGCCCCAAGCCCAGCAACCTGGTCAGCTGACCGCACTGCTGCATTCCTGCAGTGTCCCACCCCCGAGTTTAATTCTTAATCTGCAAGCCTAACTGGTGCTAGCTCCACTGCAAGGCCCATGGATGGGTAACTGGTAACCGCAGAAAAGTGCCCAGATTTGATTTTGGGGGGCAATGCTGAAGCCCCCGGTGCTAGAACCACCATCTGCTATCATGCACCCAAGGAGAGACCCCCCCCCAAGTCCACTCGACACAACTGGAGCAGCTACAAGGACACAAATGCGTGAAGACACAACAGTGAGGTCAAACAGGAGAGTCAAGGAGCAAAATCACTCCTGTCCCCAGAGCACTCTGGGGCCCCACAAGGGAGGTATAGCAGTGACTGCTGAGGTGTCCACCAGCAGCCCCATCTGACTATGCTCTCCCAGCAGCCTTCCAGGACTCTTCTCCCAGAGTAGGGACCAGCACACTTTACCCATAAGACTGATGAGGAAACTGAGGCTCAAAGAGGCAAAGAAACCTCCCAGTAAGGGGCAGCTGAGACCACACAGATCTGACTGCAAAGACTGTGCGTGTTCCACCATACCTCCTGCTTGCTGTCCCAGAGTCACAGGCGCTGCACCCCAGCCCAGGGCCCAACCACACAGCAGCCTCCACTTTTCCTCCAGCAGCAGGGCACACGGCACTCTTCCCACCCTGCTACATGAAGGCTCCAAAGGACTCTCTGTACAAAGAGCATCTGTCTTAGATGAGCCCGCCAGCGGAGAACCTGGACCACACAAATTCAAAGCCAGCAGCAAGCCTAGTAGACTTCTCCAGCCTCCAGTGATGCATCCTCTGCTGTCCCCACTGGGCCTGCGTCCCTGCTCAGGCCACAGGACTATACTAGGTCAATGGTTCACCTAACAGACTCCACTTGACCTTGAGAAAGGTGTCATTAAGTGGGCTTTAATCCACTTGGGAGATCTGGGACAGAGTGCCCATTCTAGATAAATGTCACCAGCAGTACAAATAATAAGGCCAAGGTTGCAGGGCCATCTAAGTAGCAAGGTCAAGTTCAGACCCAGGCCTAACAACAAAGTCCACACCTTAACCACCATCAGATGTGACTTTTCACTGCTTGCTGCTGGCTCTGGGTTAGACAAAGCAAACCATCAAAGTCAAGTAAAGCAGCTAGTTACACAATGGCATCTGTAAAGATGCCTTTCAACCCTGAAGGTTTTGATCCAACTCTCTAGGAGTTTAGGATAAAAATCATCAGGCTGGGCTTGGTGGCTATGCCTGTCATCCCAGCATTTTGGGAGGCTGAGGTGGGAGGATCGCATGAGGCCAGGAGTTTGAAGCCAGCCTGGGGAACATACCAAGACCTCGCCTCTACAAAAAGTAAAAATAATTAGTCAGGTATGGTGGTACACACTTCTAGTCCCAGTAATTAGGGAGGCGGAGGCAGGGGGATCACGTGAGCCCAGGAGTTTGAGATCAGCCTGGGCAACATAGCAAGACCCTGTCTCAAAAAGAAAAAAGTAAAAAAATCCGCAATTTCTCTTTAACACAAGACACATAGCTACTAACTCAGGGGAGATCCTTCCCCTCTCTGGGTCTTAATTGTCCACTGTGAAATGATATGGTTGAACTTAATTATCAAGGGCTCATTCAGTCCTTAAATCCTTTGATTTTTCTGGTTAAAGAATGAGATTAAAATGAAATCCAACTAGATTATACCGCAAATGAAAAATGTATTTTATTCAGGTTAGTTTTACCATTTTTTCCCTGCTGATAAAATGAGTGATTCAGTGGCAAACTGGCTCCTAGATCAGAGCACACTCTTCAAGGTTATTCAATTCTGACTCTACAGCAACTATTTTATAACTCCCTGTATTGTGGATAACGGAAATGCAAATAATTCTAGTCTAGACATGCAAGTGAACTCTACTAACTGGAAGTGCAACTAATTTCCTGCACTGCTGCAGAAAGAGGCCAGTCCTGCTTCCCACGTGCACATTCATTTCAGTATTCAATCCGCAAACCGACTGCACTTTGGAGTCTCCAGCACCTCCCCAAGCTTTCTCACTGAGTCAAAGTCCTTAACCCATGTTCCTTCTTACATCTGTACAGAGTGATTACTTACCTTTTTAAAAAAAAAATTATCTTTTAACATTATGGAAAGTACAAACAACTAACATGTATTTCAGAACAAACACAGTCAAAAAATATGGTTTTAATCTACTCGTGGTTAGAAGAGATTATGTATCCAGCAAAGTAAGTTTTGGTCAATGGTTACTCCATATTTTTACTTTCAGTGCTTATTTGGCATTTGAATTTTCTTTCACCCAAATTAATGCTTAGGAATCCTGATACCAGTGCAGTTTGTAGTCTTTTTCCAAAATGACTGAACATGATTTTTATAGCTACAAGTTAATCTTTAAGTTAAAAATTTTAATTTAGGTATAATTTTTACTTAGAAAGAAATTTTAAATTTTAATGACAACTCTTCAATTTTAAGAAGAAATTGAGGAGTGGTCATTATTAACCTGTGAAAATTGAACAGTAGGCATTATTAACCTGTGAAAATGCACAAAGAATAACATAAAATACCTGTAACCGATCACCCAGACCATCAACTGTTAATATTTTATAAATCTGTTAAAATCTTTTTTCCACATTACAGATATCCCATTCTCCCCACACTGCAAGATAACCACTATCCTAAATTAAGCATTTCTTTCCAATTCATTTATTATAAAAAGATATATATAAACATTCTCCTACTAATGGACATTTAGGCTGTTTCATTTTGTATTACAAATAATGTTGCAAAATATCCAAATATCTCTCTCCTTATACACAAATGTCTCTATTTCTCTAGTGTATTTTCTCGAAGTGGGACCATTGGGTTTTAAGATAACACCCCTTTTTCTAGTGGCTATACTGTTCTAATATGCACTTGCACCAGTAGTGAGTGGGAATCTCATTTTCTTCAAAGACCTATCATCTCTTGACAGCATCTAACTTTACAATTCCTCATCTGGTCGATATAAAATGATCTAATTATGGCTTTAATGTGCACTTCCTGAATTACAAGAAAATGTAAATCTTACCATATGTTTATGTAACTATTCAGATGTCAACACCCTCAATACATGTGACAACTTCCCCATCATAAACTGGGGTCTACAAAGCAACTTATGCAGTTAAAAAAAAAATTGGTGGGCATGTCTTCAAAAGACAGCCATAGCTGGAAAACTCAAGAGACAGAGTTCACTTCAATGTTTTTCGTTTTTGTTTTTTTACTGGCAACCCTGGGAGGTGTGCTCTCACATGTCTCCAAGCAACTGTCTCTCAACACTGATTCTCCTGGGGATGGTGGCAACGATTTATCAGTCTTGGTGTGGCCCCCAGCCTTTCCACACCAGAGTATCCAGGATGCAGATCCCCAAATGCAGATTCCTGGACGTTCAGGACAACGTCCACCTCTCCACAGCAAGAGGCACCTCTCTGTCCTCAGGACCCAGGAAATCCATCACCCACAGACTCCAAAGAGTAGCTCCTTCCGTACCTGCCCCGTGCCACGTTTTCCAGACTCAACGCTCTTCTACATCCATAGCTCTCGCCTATCCCTCAAGCGTCCCATCCACTCGAGCACCCCACTTCTGCTAAGTCCTACCCCCAGTCAGGGCTAGACGCGCCCTGCACCAGCCCTTGAACACAGTCTCTCCCCTGCACGGTGCGCCCTGCGCTGGAGGCCCGATGTGCTCCACGCAGCCCGGAGGGACTCATGCCCACCGTGAAGCAAGGCGCGGGACGCAGCCTCTTCCCGGCCGGGACTCCACGCCTGTCGGGGAATGACCACGATCGGCGGCCACGGCCTGGAGCGCACCGGGCAGGGCACGCCCGCACGCTGTCACTGCCATTTGCCGCGTGGGGTCGTCCACCAGCTCGGCTTCCCCGAAAGGACACGTCCGACGTTTCTATGGTCTCCAACAACCTTTCCCACGGGTGCAATCCCACACATTAAAAGCATCCAAAGGCCGCCCCGCTCCTGGACTGTGAGACCGGAACCCAGCCCAGACCCGCGGCGGCCCAGCTGTGGGCCCCCGCCAGCCCTTCTCCCCTCCCGCCTCAGTTTCCCCTTCCAAACCAGCCAGAACACGCGTGACGAGAGAGGTCCCGTTCCCACCCCAATCTTAGCCCCCATCCTTACCCTCACCCCACCCGGCAGCGAGGTGGCGGGGTTTCCCTCTGGATCCCCTTTTCCGAAATCCCCCGTCGTCGGGAAAATGATGACTCAGAAAGGGCCCCGAGACACGAAATCCCAGCCGCGAGGCCACAAGTCGCAGCAGACGGGCGGCCCTTGCCCGGGGCGTGGGGCCCCACCCCGGCCCCGCGCTGGGACCCGCGGCTACCTGCGAGGAGACAGCAGAAGCGACAGCGGCGGCAACAGGACCGTGGGAACTTGTGGCGCAGCCTCGCGTAGACACCACGGCGTCAGCCCTGCTGTGATTGCGGCGCTTCGCCGCCGCTCTCTGCTGGTAGGACCACCGCGCCGCGGTGATTGGCGGAGCCTCGGGACGTGGGGGTCTGCCGTAGCCAATGGGAGGAAGGAACGGGTTGGCGAGCCCCGCGTCAACAAATCCCAGCGTGCGATAGGAGGGCCTTGTGCCGCCCGGGAGGCCGCGACCGCGCATGCGCCCCAGCCCGGGTCTGCTCCCCGGGACAGGGATGGAAGTGGAAGGAGTGCGTGACCGCAGAAGCGGTCGCCAAGAGGTCGCGCGCCCACTAGGAGCCCTATGACCGTCTGGTCTCCAAACGTGTCTGCACTGGTGCCCCTGTCAAATGAAATAAAATATGGCAGCTGTTGAAAGCCCCAGCAAACACTTTAAGCCTCGAGAGATGCGACTGGTTGCGACTTGTGTTCTCCGAGTATAGATTAACTCGCTTTCTTATTTTTATCGTACCGGAGGGAATTAAATAGTCAGGGACAAAAACCTCCTGCCTTCTTAAGTAATGACCCTTGTTAGATTAATTTCCCGTCTTTTGTCCTGCCTTGCTTGGACCAGATAACAGAAAACCCATGACTATCAGTCACACCCCTCTAAAAAATATTAACTACCCTTACCGAAAAGAAACACTGTTTATAACAACATCGCCCAAATTATGTGCCAACATTGCATGAATAACGCTGTAATCCTGTCGAAAACTCCTACTCTTCTGTTAAATCTTAACTTCCCTACATCCCTACGGAGTTGGTGTTTTCATTTGGTCCATCCTCACATTTTGCACTTGAACCAACACTCAGTTTATTTAGCGTAGACATCCACATTTCATCTCCAGTTAAAGTGATTCCCACAGGTCTGCCTGTGGCCTGGGTTTTGGAATCTTTAAAGAGTCCCAGGTGGATCGGACCCATTTAATCTTCATTATTTTATAGAATCCACAAGTTAGGTTTGAGTCCCAAAACATAGAGAGCCAAACACTGACACATCAGAGCTTGGGACCAGAAAAAGGTTTATTCAATTTAGACAAAGCATGAGGGCAGGAGAGACAAACTGTCAAATCCAACCTGCCTTTGAACATAACCGGAGCTTTTATGAGTAAGGTAGGTGTGCGGGAGGTGAGATTCCTGGTGATCAAAGCTGCTCATGTTCCCCGGCCTATCAAACTTCTGAATGCCATGGAGGAGGAGTGTGTGACCTAAGGATCACAGGAGGTGTGCATGACATAAAAGTCATCATTCTTTAAAGGAAAAAAATTCATTTATCTTGTGGGCAACCCCCAGAGGTTAGGTTATGAAAATAATCATTAGCAACTATGCTCTACTGAAATACATGCGAGCAATTATGCATGGAGGAAGAAAAGGACAAAGAGAAAGGAAAATAAGTAAAATGAATGTTTATAGTTTTTATAATATAGGCTTGGTTACAGTAACAATCCTCTGAGGGAGACACTGTTATTGTCACCCCAGCTTTACAGATAGGGCAACTAAGGGAGGTTAAATCAAGGAGGTTAAGTTGCTTTTGCAAAGGTCACATACGTCTTAAGTGGCAGAACCAAAACTAGGATATAGGCAGTCTTGTTCCAGAGTCCCATGCTCTTACTCCCTATAAAATGCTACTCCGCAAATGTTTTATCTCACAAGAAACTGGAGAGAAAACAAAATACTATACATGAAAGTGCTATGTGGTTGTGATTGTATGAAACTAATGTGACAGAATACATGCCATCCTGCCCAAAGACATTAAGTACAAGGTTTGGGCTACAATCACGGGTTGTCTCATTTGATCTTTAAAAAAATTTTTTTTTTTACAATAAACCATAAATCAGCATACTGCTCCAGGCCTGCCACCTATTTTTGTAATTAAAAGTTTATGAGAACACAGCCACACTCATTGAAACAAGGCAGAGGTAAACAGTTGTGCAAGAAACCATATGGCTCACAGAGCTGAAAATACCTGACCCTGCACACACACACAAAAAAGGTTGCCAACCCCGGGTCAAGTACACAGCCCAAGAACACAGTTTAGAAGTGACTTTGGGCTTCAAGCACAGGTTTGTCTGAGTCCGTTGCCAATCCTCATGACTGCTGTGTTTTCGCAGTCTTCTGTGATAGAGTCCATCCATTCATCTATTCAATAACCCATGGAGCAGGTACAGCTTGTGTGCCAGGTGCAGCTGAACATTGTGATAAATAGGCAAGTACTCCCCTGCTTGGGAAGTCACTGTCTAGAAGGAAAGGCAGAAGTGTGTCCTTCACCACTCTCTATTCACCCAGGACAAATGGTGACCTGTGACTGAGTAGGTCTTAGGTGAAATGGAGGAAAAGAGGCAGCCTGATTCCTGGAATATCAAACAAAGGACAGGAGACAGCCCCCTTGATCTCGCTCAGCAACAGTGTGGCTGTTAGCTCAGAGTCTGGGACAAAATATGGTGGCTGAAAGTTGAAGACCAATGGGAGGGCTTTTGGAGGTTGCCCAGTAGCCCCAGCAGAGGCTGCGAGGTGGCTAGCTAGGTCAGTCACAAGGAGGAAGTTGAGAGGAGTGGGGCCTGGTGTGGAGACCAGTGTGGGCTCTGCTGTCAAGCTACCAGGTTCAAGTCCCCACTCTACCAACTACATGCCAGGTGCACGTTTCCCAGCTTCTCATGCCTGGGTTTTCCCACATGTGAAATGGGGGGATACCACCTACTTTGCAAGGTCTCTCTGGGAATTAATTGTATTTACGCTGTGCTTAGCACCAAGTCAGTGCCTCACACATACCAGCGACTCCCTGGGTTCTAGCACCCTGTTGGCTGCTGGGCTCTAACTTGAGAATTCTGATGCAGAAAGCAAGGATGAGTCTGTGACCCTGGGAACTGCCTGTGCTGTCATTCCCACTCATAGGATGGCAGTGCTATGCAGAGTCCTGAGCCTGTGGAAGCACCAGGAACAAAGAGGTGGGTGCCAAAACAGCCCTGTGTGGCAGGCTCCCTGTAGACAGACAGGCATGGGGCCTGCCATCAAGTGCCCCTGGTAGAATTCTCACAAGAAAAGCCATGGCAGGACTTACCTACCATGCAGTCAGAGGCTCGTGCCAGACAGGAGCAAGTGGTATCTCAGGAACATGCCAGATAACTGATCACTACAGACAGCAGCAGGAGGAGTCATTTCACACCAGAATCTTTTTAATCTAACCGTGAAAGATTAGCAGAGAGATTTTAAGAATCTAAAGCAGCGACAGCTGGGGAGACATGGAACACATCGGTTAGGTTGCTTTTCTTCCTCAGCACTCCTGACATCTGGGGTGGGTAATCCTGCTGTGGGGTGCCGTTCAGCACTATGGGTTGTGTGGGAGCATCCCCAGCATCAGCCCACTGCTGCCACTAGACCCTGCCTCTGAGTTGTGACAATCAAAAATGTTTTCAGACGCGACCAAAAGTCCCCTCGGGAGCAAAATGTTCACTCCCGCCCCCATATTGAGAACCACTGGTTTAGAGAGAGGGATGAACATATTAATTCATTTATTCTGTTTGGCGTGATGATTAAAGGCGTGGACCCTGGATTCAGGTGTCCTGGGTTTAAATTCCAACACTGGCAACACCGGCTGTGTTACCTTGGATAATCATGCTACCTCTCTGTGCTTCAGGCTCTTCATTTGTGAAACAGGAAATGATAGTTACAGTGCTCTATTTCATGGGGTTGTTACAAAGATCAAATGAGTTAGTATGTGTAGTGAACAAATATGTCAACTATTTGCTGAGTGTGTGAGAAACAGCAGGCTCTCACCTGTACTTTTGGAGTCCCTGTGGTTAATTCTCCCACCACAGATGGAGTTAAATGTATTTCAACTGAAGGAAAAAATACACAGAAAAGTGTACAGATGATAAGTTCATGGCTCAATTAGTGTTCAAAAGTGAACACACCCAGATACCAGCACTGAGGTAAAAAACTGAGCCCAGGCAGCACCAAGAAGTTTCCTTTGGAGGATTTTTAAAAAATGTTTCATACCCTCCCTTTCCCTGGGCATTTAATTATGCTGCTTCCCCGGCTCTGAACTCCACCCCCTCCCCCATTTAAAAAAAAATTCTGATCAAATGCTATTTCTTTTTTAAAATTTATTTTCTATTTTTCATTTCTTTTTTATCATGGTAAACACATATAACATTAAACTTGCCATTATAACCATTTCAAGTGAGCAGTTCAGTGACATTATTACATGCACACTGTTGTGCAACCAGCACCACTATTTATTTACTTATTTTTGAGTTGGAGTCTCACTCTGTCGCCCAGGCTGGAATGCAGTGGCACACTCACAGTCACCCCAGGGTCAACCTGCAGGGCTCCGGTGATCCTTCCCCCGGAGCCTTCCAAGTAGCCAGAAAAACAGGCGTGCGCTACCAGGCCCAGTTAATTTTTGATTTATTGTAGAGATGAGCTCTTGCCAAGTTGCCCGGTATGGTCTCGAACTTGTGGGTTCAGGCAATCCACTGGACTCAGCCTCCCAAAGTGCTGGAATTACAGGTTAAGCCACTGAGCCCGGCTGCACCACCATTCCCAAAACCTTTCATCATAGCTCCAGCTCACGCGTTCCATCCTTCCTAGGCTCCGCCGGCCAGTATCACCTGACTCCTGCCGGTCCCCATGACCTCACTTCCACTCCAGCCTCACAGTCTTCCTGTCTCTGCGTCTGCAGTTTCCATTCCTGGAATGCCCTTCCCCTTCCAGTCACACCACTGGCCTCTGCCCACATAGCACCTCTTCCTCAGAGGTTGTACTGAGCCAGGGACCTCCGGCAACACA